GACAAAGAAGTTGATGAACGATAAGAATTATTTAAAAGCACTTCTTAGATTCACATGACTAGACTACAAAAAAATATCGAAATAGGACCGAATATGTGTATCCTTATACTAGATCAAACACTTGCCACAAGTATCTAGAGAATAAATAGACAGAGAGTGAGGAAAACATGCGGAGGAGAATATATGGGAATTAAAAGAGACGAGAAGGACTATAAGGACGGACAACATTATACAATGCAGAGTTTACTAATTTGTACACGTCACCAAATACTATTAGGATAATTAAATAATTGATAATGGGTTTAATGAGATTTGTTTCATGCATTTCAACCAAGAAATGCGTACAAAATGTGAGTCGCAGAAGGAGAAAGAACATTTGAAAAAAAAAGACATAGATGGGTCGATAATATTAAAGTGGATCTGAAATAAACTGTAGGCAATAAGCTCATAGGTATCTGCCATAGCATAAGACGTAGTGATGATATGACCAAGGACAATAATAATTCCAGCAAATGTTGCGCTGACGTTTTGCTTAAATTCTCGCACGAGCCACAAATTACATTTTCTCCCTTCGTTCCCACGTGTCCCCCTTCCCTCTCCTGACCGATCTCGCGGTAGACGAGATTTGAATGCACCTGTCACGAGAGTCACGTATTTCTGTTCCCACGCGTTGTCGAGAAACTAGCGTGTGTAGGTATGCAGGGATGCCAACCCTGGACGAAAGTTCCTATTAACACTGCCAGTTTTAACACACCATAAACATTGTTCCAAATGACATGGTCGTAGGCCAATATAGTTTATGTGCATGATGTGTCTATGTTTAATTTATATGAAGGAAGTTTCTTTTCTCATAGCAATATGCTTACTTACGTGTATGATTTAGTATGAATTAATTTGTTTGCCACTGATGATGACCTTTTGAGATCGAAACGCTTTTGCATAAAGTGTAATTTAATGTGTAAACTAAACAATAAAATTCATTGCATTTTATGAAACCATGGTTTATTATCGTGATTACAACAGCCCGCCGGCCACCAGTCACATGAATCCCGTCCACAGCCCACTGATTATCCAAATATCTATTTTAATATCATCCTCCCATTTACGTCTAGGTCTTCCGAATGGTCTCTTACATTAGAGTTGTGTGATCTGGAGCTTTTATGGCTACTGCGCTTTAGGTTTTAGACCAAACTTTTTCATGAATTTTTTTATCCCCCATACATGCTGCATGTCCGACCCACCTCATACTCCTTCACTTGATGATCATCCCAATATTATTTTGAGTAGAGAACAATTTATGGAATTTCTAATTATGCTATTGACCTTGTGACAAAGGACGTGAAAATTGTAATTCAGCAACCCGTTGTATTATATTGATTCTTGGTTTTCCTGTACGTAACATTTCACATACTCTGTTCACTTGAACAACATGTTTCGAACCAATGTGGCCATCATCAGGTTCAATTACCTGCTTCTGTGTCATTGCACTGGATATAATTCGTAAAGAGTGTGAAAAGTGACGCAAAGGAAAACGAAGACTTGAAATTTGTGCAGCGTCCGATAAAGAGGGACGGATATAAGTAAATAAATAAGTAAGATGATTTAAATATATCTGCATAGTTGTGATCTCCATTGTGCTCCATTTTTCTTTCTACAAAGAGATTACTTAACTTAGTTACTAATTGGGCGCTGAACTGAGTTTCCTATTAGGTTCAGTGAACCTTTATATCACAGCTGTAGTTACTTGGCAACAGGTCGGTCTGTCACGTTGGCGACAGTGCTGAGTGTCTGACGACACACAACCAGAAACGGAAGTTGCGTATGGGGCTCTAAAAGCTTCTCGTACTTCCGTCTGCATTGTTTACAGTCTTACTTCCACGCAGAATTGTATGAAGATTAATGGTTTTCTTAAATAATTAACGGTAGTTTTCAATCACAATGCTGAATCTTGAATCGAAAAGATTTTAAAGTTTTATTAAACATTCGATAAAATCTTACTCGTATATCTGACGTAATCATACGTCACTAGACTGAAGAAATCACGTTGAAGTCCGAAACGGAACTATAATATTTGTACACACGTTTTTGATCAAATCACACGGATGCTGAAGTGTAATTTATTTAGGTAAGAGCTGCTAGTTGTATTTTATACAATATATAATATTATATTTAAGTGTATTAAAATCAGTGATAAACACCATTCTGACTTGCCATGTAACAACTTGTTTATGTAGATGGCGTATGGCGCGAGCATTAACTGATTCAAGTGTTGGTGTTGTGGTAGAAAATGCACCTAAAGAAAACAGTTTGTGCATTGGACTATCAGCATCTTATAAACTTTATGAAATGAATAATAAAAAAAGTGAGTTTGGTGGAATCTCTTGCAGTGTCTAGTTGTAAAAAGAGTGTAAATTTGAGGCTCCAAGACGTAATGATAACGACACACCACCATTAGGTAAGGCAATTGTTTTTTTTATTTTGTCTATTTTTAATTTATAATTCAAGTTGTAACATTTTTTAAATTTTCTTTGTGATACGTACTTCTATATTTACTCCTATAATGGACTTGTGTTCCAAATTATCTCAGAATTTGTCACATATCCGCCATAACGTAACGAAAATTACGAAACTGGTGGAGATTTCAGGCTTGAAGATGGCTGTTTTCTGGGATGTTTCGCCGTGTAGCCAAAATTACTGACGTTTCAGAGGTCCTTAGTGCAAACTAAACTAGGCTAAGGTAGCCGAATATTTTACCCAATTTGAAACTGTGTAAGACAATGTAAATATCCGTGCTTATAAAGACGAAGAAACTCAAGGCCGCGAAGTGAATGATGGAAAGGAGGGGGAGGGAGAGAGTGACGTATCGCTACGTACATTTCCTTATTTTGACACTAGATGTCAGGGTTTGTAGGATTTGAAATGGTCTGCTTCATACGCCCACTATTCTACCGCTAATGGATCAGGGGCTAGTTGGACTTGCTTGGGCCTAATCACAAAAATACAAACCACTGTGGTAATTTAGTTATGGAAAATGGTTTTGTTTTTCATTACGGCCCTGCGACCAGCAAATGTGGGTCTTTTTCACCGCGGAACTTTAAAGGATTAACCAAAATTCAGAATGAACCATCAATCCAGATTTTATGATGGTGTTATGTAATTGTAATAATTGGCACAGATGTCTTAAATGTTGTGGGTAGCGGAAGAGATAAACTGCAGAATATGAATTTGTTAACTTTACATAACACAGAAAGCAGAGACTGATGGGAATTTTGTAAGAACGTAGATAAGTAGATACGAAGTTTCACTATAATTCATGAAAGTAGACTCACTTGTTTTCACGGGAAACAAGCGTTTTCCTTGCTTCAAGTCTGTTTTCATCCTAACGAGGAGACAGCTATAATTTATGTGTTTGCTAGAAGGTGAATAGCATTAAATGTTAGAAATTACGTAAGAGCAGAAATATAAGTACCTGACAATGAAACAGGACTTGCTCAAGGTGTAGAGATAATTTTGTTAAATTCTGTGTTACTTCCCAAATAGTTAATACTGTTTAAAACACATTGACCCTGCTGAGTTAACAATCAACAAATCTGCAGTTTGTATTTATGAGTTTTGTATGATTCGCAGTGTAAACAGTGATTGTTTCTTGAAACAGCGTTGATCATTTGATTGTTGTAATGCAGACACGTCACTATGAAGCAAAATTTAATTATCTTTAACTTCTCGGTGAATTGGCTAGACTTCAACTCTTTCTCAAGTGAATGTAACAAGTATATTTGAATACGTGACGAAAGTCCATTGTTGTGTTGCTGTATTGAGCGAGCTGGCTGGAAGTTGAGTCAAATTAGCTGAATTGAGAATTACACAACTAAGTGGTGTGAAATCTGTGACGTCAGAAATCAGTGAAGTATACGAATTAAACATGTCGGAACTCAACTGAAGTCCTGAGGCGTATTTTCCACTTTTCACTGAACACAATGCAAACGAAAACAAGTTCTAACCAGCATCTGCTTTGTTGTCTATAACAGAATTCCCCGAAGGACACAGATAGGCGTACCCCATCTTTGGATATTACTGTCAGGATTTACTAGGCGTTTGCTGATTTCAGTTAAAGATCGCCCTCACTACGAAGTTTATGCACTCGTTTACTGCAAATGTGTTTTTGAAGCATTCGTTTTATGACGAAAATATCTCTGTAATGAATCTATATAAACTCAAAAATGTGATAACAGATACACAAACATCTTTAAAGCAAAAGACGGCAGCAAAATTATAAAATATTCGGGATATGAACTAAAGAGACAACGTGGTCAGCTTTAGATATTAATATCCCAAATTTGCTTTTGTGTCTAATATTTCATATCAGGTTACTTAGCTCCTGGGTTTCTTAACGACTTCCTGGTTCTAGTCTAAACGTTTGGACAAATATATAACCTTTGTATTTATATTTTTATGGTAACTAAATAATTCAGTTTGCCAGATGACGCAGCTAAATCCATTCCGAAACTCATTTAAATAATACTTAATTTTGTTTGATTATCTCACGCGTGATTTATGCCTGAAACATTCAATCCACTTTGGTATGATAATCTTAATACTATCTCGTAAAGAGTACAAATTATGAAGCTCCTCATTATCAGATTTTGTACAATCTCCTGTCAATTTATCCACCTTAGAGTAAAAATATTCTAATGACCACGCTGTTATCAGATGCCCTCATTTGTGTTTTTCACTTGTAAGAGACCAAGTTCTACATCCATACAAGGCAATAGGTAAAATTTGATTATTTTATGTTACAATATTTGAGCTTAAAATATATTAACCGAAAAGACAGAATATTCCCGAAGTGCATGGCATTAAATATCTCTCGAAGCCAATCTGTTCTTAATTTCTTCGTGAATGCAATATCGATTTGTTACCCTCGTTCCACTTATTTAAATTTATATGTACATGAACACACTGCTGTATTAGTTAGGATAATAATATCAACATTTTTATACCCTGGAGTCCAGCTTCGAGTTTGTGACAGGTTTATTCCACGTAAATGTAAATGTGCCTGGCATCCAGATCCTGTCTGCTGAGTTCTTGCCGATATCAGTCGCCTTGCCGTCTCTCGAGACCCCGCTGATGGCGTCTATGCTTCGGAACTACCCATATAATATCACGAGAGCCAGGGGCTGTACACCGTACTTACAGCTGAGAGAAGGGCTGTAAAGTACTCACGTCATGTGACATAAATCCGAATTCTGGGACTGGTCTAGCTTGTACTAAGCCAAGTTCTCTTCAAATTACTATCCTCTCGTCGAGCATGATAACAGTATTAATGCTAGTTTATTCTTTTTGGGGAGAGGGTAGAGGGCAAAACGTGAAGTAATTTACGGGCTTTCCAGTGTTGTGTAAAGACATATGCCATTTTTATGCTCTCAAAGAGATATGAGTGTCATTTATATGCGTCAGAACTATGTATAGACGAATAGACGAATAATTCTCAGCTAGTGATTAAACAGTGTTATTAGAAATAGTTTAATTTGTGTGTGAAGCGTTCAAACTAATTTATTGACGTAAATACGTCTATATGGAAGGGTCATTCCGCAAAAATGTTTTACGAAAAAGTGTAACGATAAATTGACAGAAAAATGTGTAAGAACCGTATCAACAAATCGACAACAATGTGTAAATATGGACCGACAACAATGGTCAGCTTGCGTGCATTGTTATGTTACCTAGGAAACGTCATCAGTTTACTCGGCATTGTTGTGTTACATTACTGCCGTCAACAATCCGCTTTCGTAACAAGATGGATGACATTAAAGATAACATTACATTACATTACAGAGACGTAAATATAATTTAAATACTGAGACGTATTTACGTCAAATTCTATGGAACCGTGGTTCCACTGTAACTTTTTTCCAAGTCTAAATGTTTTAGTTAGTCACGTGCAATCAATTCTTCATGAGGCACTTTTCATATTAAAACAATGGCTCAAGATTAACGTCTAGTGCGCAATATAAACATTGTTCGACTGTTATAACCTTCTACATACGATAACATTTAAACGACAAAATTATTTTCACAGTAACAATGTAAAATACAAACATAAATGTAGCCCGGGCAACAATTGATGAAATCGTATGATGTTGATTGGCCTGTTATTTTGATCTGCTATGGCAAACACTTGAAATTGTTAAAGACGCGAAGTAAATTTCTGTTTCCGTCGAATTAATGAAGTATTTTAGCTGTAGAAACGGTTGGTAATATTGAATCTCTCTGTTGGGTTACGTGAAGAGTCACTTCGGAGGATTTACGTGATTCTAAAACCCGCAGAATTAAACAGACTAAACAGTTGAAATGGGGAATCGCCCTTGTCTGCTGACAACGGAGAAGCAGGTATTACGCTTTGTCGGGGGGGCTGAAACCTGGCTTACTGCTGTTCTTGAAACTATAATCGTGGCGTGTACGCCTGTCTTCCAAAATGAAGATAAGTATGTATAGCATAAGGAAGACATTATCTTAACTGTGTCCTTATAATGACGAGACAATTTTAATCTTATTGTTGAAGCTTTGATACCGTTGGAGTTTTCATTATCTGATTGAACATTAACATGAAGTTAACACGGATTTCATGTTAATTTTCGTGCTATCTAAACCAGTTTTAAATACGGTGGAAATAAAATACTATTAAACTTAAATTATGAAAGTTTAATTAGTTAATTTTAAATAATAAAACAATTATGGTAAAATTAGAACGAGGCTTTACAGAAATAAATCTAAATTTCGTGACCTTAGATTCTTCTGATAATTTACGTATTGTTGATAATGTATGTAGGAAACAAATATATGTGCCTTGTAGATTAAAGTTTAAAATATTTATAGATAATTTGGCAGTTATAAATTTGTAAGTCTGTAACCACAAAACAAAAAATGAATCACAGTACATGCAGTTTTTTTTCGCTGAAGAATGGTTTTGTAAAAAGAAAGTCAGAATGATATAAGGGGAAATACGCAAAAAAAGTTTTAAATAGTTAAAATCGATTAGGAAGGTCTTGTTTTAAAAGTTAAAGAGCAATTAAGAAAGAAATGTGAAAATGTTTTAAAAATTGAAGAAAACGTTATTGGGGAAAAAAGTTTTTAAAATTAAAAAGCGAGAATAGATACGTAGTGAAATCTCTGTACAGATGCATCGACCAAATCAGGGTTTACCAACCAGTGATCCGCGGACCCATAATCATCTAGTCAAGAAATTCCCTGTTTTTATGGAACCCAAAGGTTTCTTACCGTGTTCACAACGGCTGTGGAATTTCCACTACTGTTTATCCCCCACATTACGTGTTTTTAATCTTCCACGTTTCATTCCTAACATTCGACAGTGCTTTAAGAGATGTTAACAGATGTAAGCGGATGCAGAAACACAGCAGATTCTGTATTTTAAGGTCGCCTACTGCAGCACTCGAATCTGTTGATTCCTCTTGCAAATTCTCGAGAAAATAAAGATGTCACAACGTTAAGAATTCCAACCCTTGAGACTAGAAATTTTAAAGCTGTAGCTGTTTTACATTTCAGATGCAGCAGAGGGATAATAATGACTTCATTTCCATACATATCTTTAAAACATTACTCGCAAAACTTCATAGTCTAGTCTTTTCTGAATACAGTTGAAGATTTTACGACAACGAGCGATAATCGTAAAGCAGGATAAAAATATTTTTATTATAAAAGAATGCATGCATCAGATTATACAGGTTTTTAAAATTAAAAATTTGGAGCCCATTGCGAAGTGTACTTACCACCTGATTTAACAATAAGTAACTCTTCATTTCGTATTTATGTGTTTCGTATGATTTTCATAATAAACAGCGACTATTCCCTGAGTTGATCTCGTAATGATGAAGTGTGGTGTTTTCTTCGCGGTACGAACTGAATTCTTAAATTTTGTTTAGACGAACTATGATTCTCACTATAAACAGCGATTATTTCCTTAAACTGCGTTAACCAGTTGATCTTTGTAATGGTGAGGTGTGGTGCTTTCTTTGCGGTACGGACTGAATCCTTTAAATATTTTCTTTAGACGAGCTTTGGCTTCAAATGGTTAAATGTGATGTCCTCCGAGGTAAGTGGCCAACATAAAGTCGTGAAGTGTTCGGGATACTTTTCGATGTGGGACTCATGATGAAAACAAAGTATTAGTTCGCTGATCCGTTTTGATAATCCCCGCCCTTTTCCAAGTTAATTCCATGGTGGATAAGAAAGGTAGTACAGGACAAGTACAGGACGTTCTGTGTAATCTTCAACTGGATTCAGTTACAAATAT